CTCCTGCTGCTATTGGACCTTTTCGCCCAGCCGGCGGTGCAATATCTGCACCCTTTCTGGTGGGTGGACCACTGAGACTTCGTCACCTGATTTGTGGCAAAAGTGGTCACCGCCTTCTTCGGACCTCCGCGTAAGGAGACGGCGGGCTATTAAAGTCGAATGCATTTTTGTTAATAATTGCTGAATCATGAGCTGAATATTTTTGTACACAGCTGAATTTCTGTACAGTTACGTCTTTCAACTATCATGCAAATAAACCTTCGTTCTATCTCTCTTACGAACGCGTCTCCTCACTGGCGAAGGTCGGCTGTGCGGACGACGGCAGGGAGCCAGCTACCCTATAGAAAACCTGCCGTACCTACCATCAAACCTCAAGCCCTTTACAGCGCGTGCCACTTCTAGTTTTGCCCTTGGAATGTCCGCTGGATGGCGGTACTTCTATATGTTGAATATATTATGAAAAGATGCGAAATGACGGTACTTGGGGGAATCAAATGATGGACGGACGGATGGACAGACGCACGGACGGAAAGACAGATGCACGAACGGGCGGACGCATGGATGAACGTATGGACGCACGGACGAACGCACGGATGGTCGCACAGATGGACGGACGGAAACAAGAACGAACGGGTGCATGACAGCGCCGACAAACTGACAGATGCTTCGTCTCACTCATCATCACGCACTCTGTGGATATGCAGTGATGTTTTCCTTTTCGCGCTACGGCCACTGTTCGCGTGGTTGTGAGATTCTATAGGCTATACACTGTGCTGCGTATGTGAAAGACTCGGAAACGGTCATAAAGACTTAGCAATTATACCCGTACCGAAAGAAATGATGGCATAGGCTGGGACCGTCTACGTCATTCATCCCTAAGCGAGATGTTAGTTAAAAAAAAAAAACAAGGATGAAAGAAGACTGAAAACGGGACGTCCTCAGATACACTAATTTCTGTTTTTCTTCCGTGGCAGTTCTTTGCGCCTCTTAAGGCATCATTCTGAACCAGCTCGCTACACCCTCTGCTATGTGCTTTGGAACATGTCATGCATGAGCCCTTCCAGGGCATGATTTTCTGGCACGCAGTCGTAATATTAAGTGTACGTGTAAGCCCGATAGATTAGAAATTTGTTGTCAAAACAGAGGGAAATCTGGTTGAAAGAACAATTTAAACTGGCCGAACTACGCCGCAATGAGCTCGGCAGCTCTCAGAGTGTACATGTCCCGGCACATATATGTGGCCGGAGACGGCGCATATATCCATGAAGTGATTCTGCATTGATTTTCTCCTTCACATTCTTGAGATGCTTCACTGCATAGATGCTATGCTTAACAAAGTTTTGTTTTAGCGCACAGCAGCCTTATAATGCGCTGAGGCTGGCTACCACGACTATTGCGAACCTTGCATAAAGCCTTTAATTTTACTTTATTTAATGTGACGCAGGACTCATGCGCGAGCCATACAGGCAGATAAAATAATTGTTTATGAGGCTTTCGCTTCAAACCGTCCTTCCAACACCCGTGTCGACGCCCGTTTCAACCCGGTCAACGCCGTGCGCTCCGCTGCTGCTTCGCATCCCATCAGAGTTCCCTTTGGGGAGGTATTAGGGGCGAAGCTCCTTGCGCCGTGCGTCCTCGATGTATGTATGTATGTATGTATGTATGTATGTATGTATGTATGTATGTATGTATGTATGTATGTATGTATGTATGTATGTATGTATGTATGTATGTATGTATGTATGTATGTATGTATGTATGTATGTATGTATGTAGAAGTAGTAGTATAGTAGTAGTAGAAGTAGTATTGCCGATTTCTCGTAAACATGGCATCCTCAATTCTCGCCCAATCAAACTGGCTGCGTACGAGCGATATATTAGGAAATCACTTTGGTCATGAAGGCTCCTGTCTTCGTGTTGGCTGAATAACGTTGCGTTGCACAAAGCATAGGATTAAGAATAAATTCACGTAAAATTTAGGTTAAAAAAATGTCTCACTCTCCTCTTCGCGTTGTCGCCATGAACTTCGTAGGCTGGCCGATGATCCCGTAGGCCACGTTACGTGTTCTTGTAGGTGTCGTGGCGACTACTGTGTGCCGCCAGACGCCTGCGCGCCACTCCTCTTAATCACAAGTAGCCACTAATGTGTTCGAAAAAGTTCACGACACATGGCTGTGTAATTTTGTGTCTGGGCATCACCTTTTGGCGTTCCTCTTCTGTCCCTTCCACTGCCCTCACTGCGACGAAAGAAAGAAAGCACACAGCTCGTGCGAAATCACAGCTCATAACGACCGACCAATTTCCGAGTTATAAAATGCGGGCAGCCTGCACTAGAGACGCAAGGCTTGTGGTCTCCAAGCCGGTCCCGGCTTGGCTAAATCTCAATCACGGTTAATTACGCTTTCATTTACATAAATAGATCACAATACACTCAGACATACTTGACGTGCTCGGTCGTATCACGCAACTTAATTATGATTAGAGTATCCTTAATTAGAACAAGTTATACTTAATTGGCCTTTGTTAGGTCCGATGACACGGTCAATAGTAAAAAGTATGTACGCGAGCTTCGTTTCAGTAGCTTCACTGTGAATTCGGCTTGGATTTCCCGCTTTCTGTGGCTTATGTATGCCTATTCCTATTAGTTTTGTGAGGGCGCGAACCGGCTTGAAGAAAACCTTGACAGCTCCGCTGTATAATAATAATAATAATAATAATAATAATAATAATAATAATAATAATAATAATAATAATAATAATAATAATAATAATAATAATAATAATAATAATAATAATAATAATAATAATATAACAATAATAATAATTACTTCTCAAGCACCCAGATACTCAATACGCAATAAACACGCGAATGTTCGCAAATGTTTATGCACGCGTTACCCACGCCGTTGCACAATATTCGCGAATGTTCATGCACGCGTTCGGCAGGTAACACCCCTAGAAGAGCATCCTGGAAATTAAAAAAAAATTTGTCTCTTGCTTGTAAATCAATGGCTCGTCAAGAGAAAATTGTGTAAGGCTTATGTTTTTTACACCCAGACTAGACCTCTGCAGCAGCAGCAGGTGGTAGTGTGATAATGATCGTGATTAAACGTTTATTGAAATAAAATAAAGAAAGGAAGGATGGCGACTAAGAGGACCGGAAGGCTCCGCAGTTCTGGCCGCCGCGGCCTCTTGAATGTCAGAGTCAGAGCTGCGCGTCTATGTTTTCTGCTACTTCATGCACATGCGCGGCACATCACGAGGTCGAGAGTAGAAAAAAAATAATTGGCTGAATACGGCAGTAGCTGATAGCTAAGTGATTATAGCATCAAAAAGAGAGTCACAGTGTCAGTGCAAGGGCGAAGCAGTGATTGATATATCAAATTGGGAGTGTTACGCGAAGTAAAGCCAGTAGATCCGTGATGTTTATGGCTTCTACAGAAACTTTGCGACGAGAGCACAACACGTGTACGAATGTATGTAAGCCTACACGGCTGATCCCATCCAAAGATACGGTGCGAGTGACCCCGTCCGGCGGGCAAAAGCACGCGTTTCCTGCCCATGTCCGCGCAACCCATCTTAGGTGCCAGAAACTGGCGGTACAGTTCACCTCTGCTGGAGAAGTGGTTACAAGAGGGAAAAGAAAAGTAAGCCCCGTAACTGTCTGCATCAGGGTGCGACACCTCAACAGTGAGCTACTGTTGGGGTGAGGAGGGATTAAAAGGATAGGATTAAAGGTATATATATATATATATATATATATATATATATATATATATATATATATATATATATATATATATATATATATATATATATAGAGTGATGCGCTAGGACAGAGAGCGAAGACATATGAGGGATAGGAGAGATATGAAAGATGGAAACACGGTCACAGGAGTTCGAGGATGGGGCACCACTTGCGAGAGCTCTTGTCGGCGTCAGAAGATGGCGTAAGGCAAGTCCAGTAGATCAGAGCTACGCTGTCGTCGGAGATCGGCGTCAGGAGATGACGTAGGGACAGCCCAGTCGGCCAGAGCTACGGTGACGTCGGAGATCGCGAGTGCACAACCGGTCGGTACGGAATCCAGCGAGCTAAAGCCGCTACTATATCCGGAGCCGTCGCATGCTTTCACTAGCCCACAGAGCACAGGAAGCCCGGATCGGTATTATTTGTTTGGACATTATAAGGAATAGGACGGAGACACCGAAGGCAAAATTACGTCTGCAGTGTCCGTATAAATGCTATCGCAATGAAAGGACAATGTTTACAATGTTACAATTGATGTAACAGTGTGTTACAGCAATTGCCAACATTACAAGGCCCTTACAGAAATCGCCTTTTGAGTAATGCCTTATCGGGAATTGTTTGTCGGTTCGTACATGTACGCTGGCCACTGGGGCGGGGGGGTTTATAAATGAAAAGAGAAAAGTGAGCCCCGTAACTGTCTCTCAGGGTAGGACACCTCAGCAGTAGCTCACGAGGGATGGGGGTAGAGAAGGGAATAAAAGGATAGGATTAAAAAATAGAGAAATAGAGAGATAGAGAGGAAGGAGAGAGCGAGGCGCAGGGACAGGGAGCGACGGAAGTAAGGAGAAGACAAGAAAGATAGACACGGTTGCAGCAGTCCGAGGACGGGGCACCACTGGCGAGAGCTCTTGTCGGCGACATGAGATGGCGTAGGGCTAATCCAGTCGTCGGCCAGAGCTACGTTGTCGTCGTCGTAGTGGACCGTCGGCAGGAGGTGTCCGGCCAGAGCTGCGCTGTCGTCGGAGATCGCGAGGGCACAACCGGCCGGCACGGAATCCAGCGAGCGGCTTCCCACTTCTAAAGTGGTCACTGGTTCCAGATCGCGATGCTACTGGCATAGGCGCTGCTTTATTAAAGCACGTTTTCCAACATCGGCACAAGCGGTCTAAATGTATATGCGGATCACAGAGCGCCAAGGCTCTGCTTTTGGAAAAGGTGATAGCAAGACTAAAGGAATAACGAGAAGACTAAGTAAGTAAAACACGGGCGGAGGTACTCTTTATAATACAGATTTTGTATATATTACACGATGTTTTTCCATGCACTCGCAGGCACGCAATCACGCACAAACACACACGCACTGGGGGTTCGCTAACAGTCCTTGGCTAGCGCCGGATATCGAGACTTGAGGCTGTTCATGATTCGCGCGTGGTGCGCATTGTTCACTTTCACGAAGGGTACCCTGCGACGCTCCTCGCTGGCGATGATGGTCTTGATGCCGGGTGCGTGCACCAGGAACGCGTTGTCCAGGATGTGGAAATCGTAGCCGCGCAGGCAAAGCTCGTAGCTCTGGTGAAAGGAAAGAGGGAAATGAGTGTTAGAATGATAAACTCAGTGTGCACACTAACCTTGCACAATACGTACGCTTGAGTCGCACGTCTATAGCTTCTTAGTAGCTTGCTCTACCATTTTTGGCTCTTGAAATGGTCACTTTTTTTTAAAACGACACATGCCCATGGAGGACGGGGTGCAGGTGCACATCAGAGAAGAAGGTTGTGTAACACTAAATTCAGCAACAGGGCTTCATCACTGAAGTTGCTTGAGTGACTTATCGCCAGCTCAATTATTGTTGGTGATTAACGTCCCAAAAACACGGTGTGACTGTGTCGGACCAAAACCACCTAGAACAACTATAGGAGCCGCTAGTCGGACGCCGTATACTGGAGGGCTCTGAAAATTTCGACCATCTAGAATTCTTGAACGTCCATCTAAGCCTGAGCACAGGGGCCTCAAACGTTCTTGCTTCCATCGAAAACGTGGCCGGAATTCCATCCTACGACCTTCAAATCAGAAGTCGAGCAACACTGGACTACAGTGGCGCGTATTATCGACGGCTTTCAAAAACAGTCTGTGACCTGCGTGTCTGCATCAGAAGTGCTATTCGAAAATGCTAACATCGGCATGGAATGCATACACTGCTCCAAGTACGCTCTGAATGCGAATAATACCGGGTTAACACATGCAAATGTATCGTCGCATATACTGTGTTTCCTGTTCCTGATATATATACTACTTCGCTGTCACCATAAATATGCGCCGTACAGCATCGAAGAAAGTTCCTTTTATCGAGAACAGATGAGTATACGCACCAGAGCTCGTAAACGGTATCTCGACTGATGGAAAACGTGTGTCAATGGGTGAATACTTTGCCTTCAGAATTTCAAGCAGCTCATACTTCCATGAAAGCACGGGTAGGTTAAATTTACCCTGTGGGGTTTAACATCCCAAAGTGACTCACGCAATTATAAGCGTCCTAGGGGAAGGCCCCGGACAATTTCCATCAACTGGGTTTCTTTAAAATGCTATGATATTGCAGAGTACACCAGCCCCTAGCACATCGCCTCAATCGAATAGCGACCGCCTCGGCTGGAATCGAACCTGTGGTTTTGAGGCCAGCAGCGTATACTACCATAAACAGCGACGCAATACGCGGCAGCTACAGATTATGCACGTCCCTGGCGAAGGACATTTTGTACACGCATGTCAGAGCGCATTCGTGACACAGCCATTGTCAAACGTGGCAAAGGCCGCGACTAATGGCCGGGTTTTTTGCTGGAAGACTGTACCTCGATCGGTAGTTAAACAGCAAGTGTGCCGAACTGGGTATGTTCTACAAACTCTTCCTGTCGGTAAAGTTTTATTACTAGAGCACTTTACATTAGACATAGCCCCCATTCTTCGAAGTGTCCTTTTGTTCAAGAATATCCGTCATCTGGATCACTTGCGCTTTGTTAGAAAACTCGGCGCTCATCACTTTGCAATCAAGAATGCTTTGTACCGCTAGTATCGTGCGCGCCGTTCGTGACGTGAAAATTCCGGGCAGGCGGTGATGACGCAAGGAAAGGCCAACGAGATATTCCTTTCGGGACCGAAATACGCTTCGATTCTTGAGTGGTGGCTAGCGTCGACCGACGATGCGACCACACCTGAGGCGCAACGATTTAAAAAGCTGCGTCAGGCTCACCTGCGACATCTTGTCCCTCTTGCCTTCCCACGTCAGCTCTTCGGCGTAGAAAGGGTCGTCGTTGGTGCCGATGTAAATGGGCTCCCAGGAGCGCTTGGTGCGGTCGCGCTTGGTCGTGGTGAGGATGCCCAGCGCGTCGTCCTCTGCCGGCACGTACTCGACCCACTCCTCGCGCTTGGGGAACTTCTGGCACTGGTCGCAGACCCACTTGTGGAAGAAGATGGCCGACTTATTTCGCAGCATATCGACCAGGACTCGCTTGGTCAGCGGAGGCCGCTGCTTGGCCTGCACCTCGAATATGGGTAGCACGAACACCTGCGACGCGCTAGCCTCGGTGGCGTTGCGATGCCAGCGCTCGGCGACCAAGTTCATAAAGCGCGGTATCACGTTGGCGCTCGGGTACAGCTCAATGTCCGACGCGAGGATGTAGCGCGTGCGCGCCCGACGCCGCGCGACGTTTCGGAGCACGTTGATCGGGTAGGTCATCCTGTGCGCCTTGCGGAACTGAGCGTACTCCCGCTCCATCACGTCCGAGGCGCACGAGCCGTTCCAGGACTGGAGGAAGTCCGCGGAAGACGACGAGCTGACCACGACTGCCGCCGGCGGCGCGTGGTCCCTGTCGTACACCATGTGCCACGTCACGTTCGCACTCACGCATGGGTCATCACAGTGGCGCAGGAAGGCGATCTTGTCCAGCGCGACTGCGTAGTCGGTGCCCGGCGCGAAGACTGCCACGGAGATGGGGCCCTGCCATCGCGAGCACAGGACCGGGACGTGCTGTAGGAACTCGTGAGTTGCCTGCGTCGTGAGGGTGACGCTGTCGTTGAACGGCACCGAAAGGTCCGAGGGTATGAAGTCCCGCTGAACGACGTACTTGGCCGATGAAGTCGATTCTTTTTTCGGCGTGGAGTTGACCCCGTCGCCAAAGGCGCCGCTGCTGATGATTCGTCCCAGACGCGCTTCGCTTGGCGCGCGTGTTGTGGCCACCTTTGACTGGAGCGGTTGCCTGTTCTGAAACTGAGGCTTGTCGACGACGTTCGCCGGCGCTGTTTTGATCGGTTGTGACTGTGGTTGAGGTGGCATCGGAAGTGGTGAAACCTTCGCGCCGAAATCCGCGGCTTCCTGCTGGGAGTGATTGGCGACGACCAGCACGCAGGGCTTCACGTCGGCGCGGGGCATCTGGAAGCATATCATGTTGTAAACGGCGAGCAGTATGTTGACCGTGACGAAGATGCGGTATGCGAGGCGTAGCTCGGGTCTGTTGGAGCCCGTCATCGCCATTGTTTTTCCCTACAGCAGTCCTCTCGAAGGGCAGAAGCTGCAGCAGGCACCGAACCAGCTTACGTCATCCTTTCAGCCAGGCGATGCGTACGACGAAGCGGTGACGTCTGCGCCACGTAATGGAATTCTCGACGAAGGGAACATCGGTGCTTAATAACCAGATAGCATCACTTGAACTGTCACGGTTTCATCGGTGCACCACCCAGAATGATGCCTTCGTCCAGCAACCATCGCAGCACTCTCGTTGTGCCTTCGGTCTTCGAAGTGAAACGACGATAGTGACGTCACCTCCATCTTGCCCTTGGGAATGGAGGAGCCCTGCGATGAAGTCAGAAAAAGAGGGTGAGTTGTATTACATCCGCATGTCTTACGCGCCAACGAAGCAAATACAGCAGTTAAAAACCCAACGTAAGAGGCGCGCTGCTTTTATCTATATATGATGCTGTCGCAGACGCCTCGCAGTTGTTGAGTGTAGATAGGGACGCAAAAACTGCTGATAAGAGTAGTTCAACCGGCAAAAGACATTGAAGGAACACGAAAGTTTTTTTTTCTGTTTTTTTTTCCGCTGGCTCACACTTTGCGAATTCAAGCTGCAAGGATGAAACATCAGTAAAAGTGGCAAGCGATAATTAAAAGGAAGGGAGAGGGGTGGCACACGTGCGTACAATGAAGCAAACGCTGCTTCACCGCATGCGCGAACAGACTGATTCAATGCATTGCGCACTCGCGTTAAAGCAGGACCTGTACACTTTTTGACTGTGCACCTCCGAGAAGCGGACGTTGGGGTAAAAATACGGCGCCGGCCGTTCAGCATTCGTCCAATAGCTAGTGCAGTCACACACATGATTTTGTAGGCAGTTGCTCATTGTTTAATAAAGTTAACGAACAACGCACGCAACACTTACATGGTCGATTAGCATTTTGCGGTTCGCAGCAATAAAGAAAAGCAGATAGTTTATTGTGTCTACATAATTATGAGGAAAAGAGTAACGTAAAAGAATATTTCGACGCAAAATAAGCCATCGAAGTCGCCTGCGACGATCATTTTGCCATGGAGTGTGTGAATGTTCTGCACAGAGGAGAGTTGCTGTTTACCGAAGTTTTAGCCATTGCGAATCTCTCAATTTCAATGCCAATCTGAAGAAAGCTGAAGCATATAGTTCGACCCCGCGCGCAGCTGACCACGGAACAAAATTGACCGCTGGAATACAAACTCTCGCACAGCAAGCAGCTGGTTACGTCGCAGATCGCGAGGACACCTCAGTTGGCCGATACTCGGGCCACTCGCATGTTGGTGGACGCTTAAACCATCCCATCTTTACGAACATTGTGAGAGCAGAATTTCGGACAAGTTGGTAATTCATAACTTCAGCATGACTTCACAAGGAAAAAACGCACTCACTGTGTATGCCTTCTTCTCTCTATAGTCCGTGTCTTCCTTCATTTTTTTTGTTGCGCAGTCATACTGAAGTTATGAACATGCCCATGTTTATGAACAATTGGAACAATCATAAATTGAGTGCTCAAGATAATGCACTTACATGTCACCAAATTACTCGCGAAAGATCAAGGATCAACCCATGTTACAGATTATAATGGTAAATGATGTCATGACTCTTTTAAAACAGTACTACGTTGACTTATCATGAACTCCCACGGCAAAAGTGCGACCGTTGTTATTATATATATGTATGCATGGCTCTTTGCAAACTTTTTCAGCACGGCACCCTAAAAGACACATGATTGGTTGCAACATGACGGGTATCATAATAATTTAAACACCGACTGTAGTCACTCCTCCGCTCACACAATTAAAAAAGGAGGAATATTTGTAACGTACGTATGGGTATCACAGACGTAAAGCATTTGTCCTACCATATATATATATATATATATATATATATATATATATATATATATATATATATATATATATATATATATATATATATATATATATATATATATATATATATATATATATATATATATATATACTCACCGTCTTTTTCCGACTTTCAACGCCAATGGTTGTGAGACGCCGTAGGGGAGGGCTTCGAAAATTTCGGTCACCTGGGGTTTTTTAACGTGCATCTGGATCTGGGTACATGGGCCTCAAGCAATTCTCTTCCATCGAAAATGCGGCCGGAATTTGACCCCGCGACCTTGGGGCTAGCAGTCTAGCCCTCTAGACCGCCGCGGCGTGTGACGATAGTCAGAAGCGCGACGTTTACGGGCGTCTGTCAAAGGTGCACTTATATATGCTGATTATTATTTTTTTAATGCTGGTGGAAGTTTTGAGCCCCGAATTTTCAGAAGGGTCTTAAATACATGTGACGCTCCGCCGCGTCGCAAACTCGCAGCTTGTAATATATACTCTTGCCGAGACCTGTCGTATATCGAAACACGTTCAAAGAGCTTAACCACCGCCAAGAAAACACGCGCCCGTCAATCCGTTCGTGGACGTCCTTCACAGCCTGCCTCGTTCCACTTTACATATCAATATCGAGTGATGTGCGTGCGCCGGTGGGACAGTGATGGAAGCGCGCTGAGAGAACAGCGAATCCTGCGGGATGAACGCGCGGGAGAGGAGGAGGACTGCAGGCGTTACGTCACGCTATACGCTGCCACTGTCACTTTAAGCTAGCGTCGTGATTGGGCAGCACAGAGATGAAAAGAATTGTCTATAGAACACCTTAGCCGCGTGCTGCGTCGACGCGAGGCACCAAACCGCGACAAGACGGGTGACCGTGCACCGCTGTAGACCTTTACACGCGAGATGTCTTGCCTCTCCTTGCCAAAGAAATATACATTGCCGGATGCTGCCAGTGTGCGTGAGACAGTTACAGCGGTCGCCGTCTCTTTATCGCTGCTTCCTTGGCCATTGGCAAGGCGTTCTATGTAGGCAGGCTTTTGGATCCATTGCGTGCCATTTGTTAGTTGCTCCGTGGGGCGTTTTGTACCGCGAACTGTCCCAGCCTGCGCATGCACCCGTTCAGACGTGAGGCAGGACACGAACGACCTTCTACGTTTCGACTGGCCGCTCCTGGTTCTTTCTTCTGCGCCGCTTCGACTTCAGACAACAAGAGACAGTGCGTTTTTGTCATTCCATTTTTTTTTTCTCTCGTGTCCTCGCCCAAACGAGGGCCACTAGCGGGCGCTTGGCTGCTCCTCAAAGAGAGTGCCCGTGCATGCACGGACAAATGCATCTTTGTAGTAGCAGGCCGGAAACGCGCCTTGCGACTCTTTGTAAAGCAAACAGACTGTGGCTAATGGCCTTCGTGCGTCTTGTTTAACACGGCCCGAGCACACGCTGGTGTCAGTGAGCGAAGCCACGTGAGTTCTACAACCGGAATGAGGTACAACAATTCCGCATTAACTGTGTTTTTTTTTCGTTCTATGGTGTATGGTGTAGCGAATTGGTTGTCCAACCAATTCACTACCCTATACATATACCGATATTTACCGCTTGTCAATGGGAGACAATAAGAAAGGAAGAGAACAACGCGAACAGAATAATCTCGCGTGCACATCAGTCGACAGTCACTATACGTCTTTGTGAAATGTTACATGCTTTACGCAGAGAAGTGTTTTATTGAAATTTCACACGAACTTCACTTAACATTCCTTTCTCAAGGTATCGATTAGGTCGTACGCTCTTTTGTTCATATATTTTGCTAATCATTCGGCGTTGTTTGTTTGTGCGAATTACATATGTGCTTATAAAGGAAACTGGCATTCCAAACACTTGAACTATGTATAGCTGTAATTGATTGATTGATATGTAGGGTTTAACGTCCCAAAACCAGCATATGATTATGAGAGACGCAGCATATGATTATCAGAGACGCCGTAGTGGAGGGCTCCAGAAATTTTGACCACCTGAGGTTCTTCAACGTGCACCCAAATCTGAGCACACGGGCCTACAACATTTCCGCCTCCATCGGAAATGCAGCCGCCGCAGCCGGGATTCGATCCCGCCATCTGCGGGTCAGCAGCCGAGTACCTTAGCCACTAGAGCACCGCGGCGGGGCTATGTATAGCGGTAGCTGGCTTTAATTTGAATTCCTTGCCCTCCCTTATGTATGCGACTATTCAAAAAAAAAAAGTAAGAAGCTGTGTCATTTCAAGGTGAGTCCCGACTCGACAACAAGAGACTCGATGTGACATAGGATTATGCTTTGTTGGCTATAAGAACGTGTCGTCGTAATTGGGAGTAATTACTCATAGACTAACCGTATATAGAAGCAGGTACGTTTGAATACGCGCTTCAGTGTTCGTCTTCTGCACACGACATGACTACAATCGGCACTATGAAGTGACTCATTTGGACTCGTGTGAATTGTGCTTTACATTATGCAGACCACTGTCATGTAATTATGTTGCGCCATCCCATTAGCATATGTTCGGACAGAATAAACGCTAGCTGTTCTTGCATACTTTTCCCCTGAACTCACGTACTGGAGCTTCTGAACGACGACCTTAGTTCGGCGGCTGGATCGTGTCAGAGTGACGACAATGCAACAGACCCTACATACTCACCTACATTATATATACCACACTATATACGCTATACACACTCGTATAGCTGTTCCGAAGCTACACTGCTCACTCGAACGACGCGGGATGACATCCCAGCTGCGGAGGCCGCTTTTTTGATGGCAGTGATAATATTTGATGCCCGTGTACTTTTAAATGCTGGAGGCCTTCATTACGGCCTCCCTTATAATAATATCGCAGTTTTATGATGTTCAACAATAATTTTTAATGTACAGTAATGGAAGGTCGGTGAAGCTGGAAGAAGTGATAGGTAAAAGAGGAAAGGCGAGTACAAGAACAAAAAAGAGTGGGGTAACATGCTCATAGTTGTGACAGATGGCTCGTAAAATGCCGTATCTCTGCCTCGGAACTATCAATCTTTCTTTATTGCTTCGTTTCGAGCTGTACGAAACCGTCTGTATTCCCTGCTCTCAGTATCTTCTCCCACCCTGTCCATTCATTCCGTGTATGAACTCTCTCTCTCTCTCTCTCCGTCTCTCTTCTCATTTTTTGGACAATCCAGCGCTACAGACTCAGCTCTTTGCTGCACCGGAAATGTGCGGAGACGAGCGCGTCAATGGTTTGCCATGGACCTAAGACAGCGGAAATGACTTTAACGGAGCACGAAGGGAAGACGGATGGACGGAGTCGAATCGGCGCTCGCGTAAGATTGGGAGCACGCCGGCGAATCTTGCGGAAAGACGGGCACGGCGAGCAGCGCGCGGGTATACGCGCCCTTTCTTTCTAGTCTCCGTATAGTTTCGTTTTCTTTGTTTCGT